AATAGGCAGTTTGTAAAGACTCTTCTTTCTCATACCATACCAAGTAAATGAAGGATGAAAGGTACAGCAACTCATAATAACAATTCTTAAATTCTGCTTAAAATCTAACTTCTGCAATGTAGTAAAATCCCCAAGTTGGATGCTCAGAGTTTGCTTTTACTGTGGAAAGTTTAATAATAGCCTATGCAAAAATTCTCTCTGATAGCAAGGTAACAAAGAAAGAAGACAGAGCTAATTTGAGCATTAAAATACAAAATCTGAATATTTAACCTAATCACTCAAGTTTGAAAACTGGGCTCCTGATATCCAAGGACCAAATTACCCCACACTTATTTTGAATTGCATATTACTCCAGAAATAGTTCTATTGACTTCAATAGGACTCATCGCAGAGTCAAGTGGTACGCGACAAGCAAGAATGAGACAATCCTGTTCCAATTAATACAAGCCTGACCTTTTCCTTCCATGATTCTCCTCCAACGTTCTATTGGAATCTCCCATCTCTCTTCTCCCACTAATTAACATGACACAAATACAGCAGAACACTAAACAACTGCACTAATTGGAACTGGTGGTGACAAAAATACGCAGTTGATCAGTAACTGTATGATGTAACTGTTACCTCAGTGTGCTCCTGTAGTAACAGAACCGGGGGAGGGGGAAGGAAATTACTGAAACTTTAACGCTGTTCAACCCAGGTTAAATTTACAGCAATTTAGCTCACTATCAAGAAGAGCATTCAGAAGTTTAACAATTATATTATAACAGCTGGTGCACACTCATAAGAAGCAACTCCCACCCCAAATTTGGAAGTGATTAAAAGTTGCTGCTGGCCATAGACAGAGATTATATTTTTAAGTACTTAGTTAGCAGTGCTTTTGCAAGCTCTCACTAATGGGAAAAAAATCCTGATCAAAAAGAAGCACAGGAGCTCTTTATAGAACTGCATTGCAAGAGCCATGTGTGCCAATGTGCCGCCAACTGGAGTACGGTTGTTCAGCATTCCACTATAGCTACAGTTCAATAACGTAATTCTGCTATAAGTGAATTCTGACTGATAATGAACTTATGTTAACTGCATAAATTAGATGTTGGATCCACTGAAGACCAATACTAAAGGCTGGTACTCCCAAAATGAGTCCCTGCAGATGTGAAAGGTGATTAGACCTGTCAGTAGCCACAAACCTAATGGACTATTCCCAGGATGGGTTCCCTAATTATTTTTTTTCACCACAGATCTGGACATGTAGCTATTATTTACCTTTTTCAGCAGATACACTTTTATTTTAGTGTAAACTCAAAAACAGTATCACAAAGATAATTTCCACTCATTACAATTAAATGACTTCCTCATATTTTTACTTCAGATGAAAACTGCATTTCTCAATTCCAGCCAGAAACTCTGCTACAGCCTATTAAACGTGAGACACCTGGGAGCGTGGCCAGCATCTGAAACAGCACAGCTGAAGGGTACTGCCATTTCACAGGGTCTCCTTAGAAAGTATTTGCTTTGCCTGTCTAATGTTCTAAATATAGCAAAGCACACAGGCTATATCCATCTCATTCTCCAGTATTCATGCTAGACAAGAGCTACACACACTTTGCAAAATCCAGCACTTCTTTTGCCAAACAAGTTAGCATGTTTCATGTTTTTTAAAGATCTACTGACAAATAAAGGATCTTTTAAGTTGTATGAATTAGAGATTTATTACCAGCTTACTAGAGACCTCTGTGGTGACTACAGATTAGACTTCTCTGCAATATGTAACATGAGCTGTTTAGCTAGTTTATAATTATTATTATATGCCTTTATATGGTGATTAATAATTATATAAGTGTTTAAAGATTAAGGGTTTTAGAGTCAGTTTTTGGGTGTACTATGCCATTATTTTGGATCTACATTGGTTATATTTTGGGAAATTCATTGGCTAGATTTTTGCAAAAAAAACCCAAAACTGCTTTTGTTGAAATATAATATTAAACAGATTAGCTAAAAACATAAAATCTGGACCCTCCATTCTGATGCAACTTTCCACTAAACCTGCCAAAAAGCTTGCCTAACAAATAATATGTACTATAGTATTGGAGGAGAAAAACATACCAGGTCCACCATGTTTAGCCTTGTACACTTAAAAACTATTAAACAAAACAAAATAAAACCCCAGTGTCCCATTTTGGTTGGACAGGGAATTTGGTAAAGAGGACTATCTATTTTTAGCTGACCAAGGGATTTTCATTCATTTTAAAATACAATTTAAAAGTATGTCAACAATCTACTTATAAAATACTTGTAAAGCATATATTAGCCATATTGCATGGTTAACAAAGGGGTATTTATTAATGGCTACCAAGCTTTTTTTTAATTAAGTTAAGTGGATAAGTGCTCTTCAGCTTGCAAAGAATTCCACCTGATACCTGTGGAGTCTTCCAGCAAAAAGCTTTGAGCATGTCATGGAGAGAGGTTTTAACCCAAAACACATCTTTTGGTGTTAAAAAATGAAAACATGTAACTACTGAACAGTATGTTTGTCCATGGTAAAAGAAGATCTGGATTGAATTACAAACCACTCAAATCCACCGACTTCAACATGGCCATGAAGACAGCTACCTTCAAATCGTAGTTTGAAACAATATAAGAGGTTCATAAAAATATGAGGATTTCATAACTTTTTGTGAAGGATAATTATATACTTTTTAAGGACAGTGTAACTGAAATGCAGAAGTTTGTCCAAGGTAATACAATGAGCTAATGAAACAGAACAGCTTCCTGGCATCCAGTCTTGTAAAGTACAACATGAACAAAACAACCTCCTGACCTGGAGCCCTAAATGTTATCCCCTAACCCACATTTTCTGTCTGTGCTGCCTTTTGCCATAAGCATTACATTTTGAAAGCATTTCAAACTATCAAGGAGGCTGGAATTGGCAACACTGCTGATTTACAATGGAGTTGGAAGAAGCTTCTTCTTCTAAACAGATTTTCATGTGTTTGCTTCTTTAATGAACGTTGGTGTCTTACTTTCAACATTTTTATATACTTTCTAAATATTTTTTAAAATATTATACATAAAATAAAAGATAAGTGGAGCACCACAGAAGTGGATATGAAGCTTTGCAAAATCAAAATGAGGAGCAACAGTTATTTATAAAATAAAACTAATTGTACTGCTGTTGGAGCTGGTTAGTATTTTACCAATAAATTAATTCTAGTTCTTAAACATGGAGTGCTGTACAGAGCTCCATGAGCCTAGCTTTTACATCTCATATGCAAACTATGATCTGGATATTACAAAACAGCAACATCTGGTGCCAATTCCTAAAGTGCTTACAGTCCCAAATCAATTTAAAAGCAGCACATCAGCTGTAATGGGACCAAACCAGTAGCAGACCCTTGTACGGTAACTTCCATTCCAAGCAGCATAGAGAACTTCACAACTTCCCACAAGTACAGGAAAGCGTGGTAGAAGAGACAAAACTAGCAGGGACATATTCACCAGACCAAACGTGTCATACACAGAGTGTAGGATCCATAATTACAAAAATCTCCCAGACTGTGCCTAGAGTGAGTCAGGAATTTTTTTTGAAAATGTTTACTTGTCAAAACCAAAACATTTTACAAGAAAGTGCTGGTTTTCAGGAACTTCTCCACTTAAAATATATTTTTTAAATATAAAAATAGATCACATATTTCTTCCTGACGTTGGTGACACAGAAAATTCTCATTTGCAGTGTAAAAAATTACTTTGAATTTAGAAAACATAGCTGATTATAGTAATTTTAAAACAAAATGGTGCAAAAAGATTATTAGGCACTATGAAAAAATAATTTTAAAACCTGAATAACGTTTTTGGTTGGCTTGTATTTTTCAGCTTGTGAAATTTTCCAGGTTTCACTTTTGTTTGAATTTCAACAAGGAAAGAAATTAAAATCTTCAAAAGTACTGCAGGACCAGAAAACTATTTTCTGCCTAGGTCTGCCTGCACAAACAGCCCACAGTAGCTAGCTGCAACTGAAAATTCCCTCCCTCAAACATGATATTTTCATGAACAGAACAGTCCATTACTTGGACTTTGTTCCACTTCCCAGGAGATAGTCCCAAAAGTAGCAGTATTATATTGTGGAGAAAAAAACCCAACTTTTTTTTTCAATCGCAACGTCTGATTTTTATGACTCTCTAGCTGTATTAAAATGCAGTCTGGGGACTGGACTTTAAATTTGGGAATTATTTAATTCATAAAGCATAAAACAAAAGGAACTGGAACTCTGCCTCACAACTGATCACTGAAACTAGAAATATTTTAAAATTCCAGCCTCATCCTTTTCACAGCTTCACTAATATATACTTCCTGGAAATGATAGTAATCCTCTGCCATAGCTACCCTTGCATGACTAGAGAGAGGCACCTAGATTCAGTTAAGTTGTCCAAGTAATGTATCTCCTTTCATTAATTATTTATAATTCTAAAAAGAAAAGAAAATCGGAAGACTGCAAATAAAACTTGAAACATGCCTTTCAGAAATGATCATTCTGATTAATGAAGGAAAACATTAATTTAAAATGTACTGCCTATCGTCCAGAGACATCAACAGTCTATGTACATTTCAAGATAAAAATAAATCATCATATAAAATATATAGTTTCCTTTTCTAGTCTCATATATATATATATGGAATCTTTACTCCAAGTTTACTATTTCTAAATGAAATATATACTGTGTTTTGCTCCAACTATAGACAAATGATAATTTAGGGTTAAGGAACTAGTATCTGTATCCACGCCAGCACCAGAAGCCCAAATTCTGTGGTTATTAGTTCTCCCCTATTTTCCTTCCCCTTCACCCGAGAAAGAAAAAAGCACAACAAAATATCAGAACAGAAAGACCCATAAATCTCAGTGCCGGCACACACAACAATCCATATGTCTCAGACCCTATGGTTTCTCCGATTAGAACTGCTTCATTCATTAACTGTTTATCCTTGAAAATAATATAATATTTACTCACTTTCAATGAATCAAAGCAGGCGATTACTCGTCCATTTTCAACTTGGCAGCTTTTCGATGGATGTGCAAATTTACATTCCGTGTCTGGTCGTGAGCAAGTCCCTCTTTGGAACTCTCTACACACTTCCAGTGTTAGCCATTTTGTGTCCCGAATCGGTGTGACACTAACAGCCATTTTTAGATTTTACAGGTAGTTAAAATTTTTCAATGTAACAAATAAACAAACAGCCAAACTGATAGACTGGTAATGATGAAAATGTCACCTCCAAAATATTTCTTTTTTTTCCCCGCTCCCTACTTCAAAAGTACATGTAAAATGGTGTTGTCACAATATCAAGGAAAAGATTTGCCACTAGAAATTCACAGCATGAAACTGTTAATTGAAAGAGGTTTTGTACTTAAAGAAATGCTAAGATCATAAGGAAGATGAACGTTAAAAAGTGTGGCCTGGAACTAGCCTTGTGCTCTCAGTAACCCATTCTGAGTGCCAATTTGGAGCCCAAAATGCAAGCATGAAAACGTGGCAGACCCTTTGACACAGAATTTCCAAGCTGCTTTCAGTAAAGTTGTCTGAAAGGTAATCTCCACACACAGCTGAATTTGCAATTGGGTTTTGTGGTGCAATCGGTATTGATTAGTTTGGCATAGACAGATGCAGCAGTTTAGAGCAACAATCGAGAAATTATATTTTTTCCTCTCCTTGATTTTCTGGCAGAAGATATCTTACTTTTTCAGCAAACTTTTTATTTCTACACTAAAGCAGCCTAAGGCAATGCGCCTGATACTTAGAGCTTTTCTCTTGATTATAAGTAGAAATGGGGGTGTCTGGGCTAGAGGTGGAGGGTGGATGTGCTGTCGTCGCAGTCTAGCTGGCAGCAAGCAAGGCAAAAAGCAGAGACTGCTCTAGAAGCGGTTCCAAGCAGCAGAGACGTCAGGAAAGGCACTTCTTAGTACCAACCTGTAGAAAAAACAGATATGTTAACATTTACCAAGCAGCATTTCACTGATGTCCCACAGCATTATACCCTGGCCGTGTGATCCTAAACTACTATGCAGAATTATAGACTGTCCATTTCCTTCACACAAAATACTTACAGTGTAGCATATTGCAGCCAGCCATCGTAGATTTATTAAAAAAGGGGCCGTTTTCCCTTGTGAAGCAATGCATGATAGGGAGATAACCAATCACAGATAGTGTTGCAGCAATATTCTGGGCAGAAAGCCAATAGTGTGGGCTGTCTTATGAAAGGTCGCGCCTGTCAGACGTTCGTTACTATGCTATAAGCACAGAAAATGTCCATCAGATGTGACTTATTCCACTGCAAGAGGACGAGCATGTGGGTTTTGAATTTACCCAACATGCAGTTAGTGGATTAAACCATGTTAGTTTTAAAACAGCTTCCAACACAAGCACAAGTGCCTGCAGAATCCCGACAGAAAAAGCAAGCTTCCAAACTGCAGATTATTTTCAAGCTGTTCTCTCTCCTGCTTGCCTTGAGCACAGCCAGCATACAACCTACCATATCTGATCCAAGAGTATAAAAGGAAAAGGGGTGTTCACAAATGGTACATTCTCCTGACCTATCCAATTCACTTCCTTCTAAGCCTTAAGTCGTGCCTCTCTACAGAAATCAACACTTGTTTAATACTGTAAAACTATCCCAGGCAGCCAGCAGACACTTTGTCAATATAGCACAGGCAGACTAGATATGAACAAAAGCACCCTTTATTTTGACCTTTCTCAAGCACAAGCCTAGTTCTTACAGGGATTATAAGAAATGCAGTCTTGTCAGGATGTCTGGCAAAATGCAAGTTATCCTCAGGAGAGAAAGTGATTCTATTACAGTAATATTAAATATTAAGCAGGCAATTTGATTTAAGCAACATGATGCACTTCAAAATGACACTCTACTGAATCAGATGCCTGCTGGTCTAAGCTTCATATGTATGAATCAATCTCTGTACCCCTGAAAATCTTGTACTGAAATTGCATCTGGGTGGAAATAGCAAATTTTCCTTTTAACGCTGATGACATGGTTTACCAGAAGATTTGACAGTATCATCATCATCACATTCATAATGTTAAAACAATTGCAGCATGTCTTGCTCAATGGCAAAAAAGGCTATTTTAAATTAAAAGGGTAAAAACTTCATTGAAACTCCTACCTTGGCTATTCCCTGATATTAAACAGTTTCAAGCACAATCTTCATAATTTAAACACAGTATTTATTTCCCTTGCTTTTATAACTGTTTAAGATAGAAACTTGTACTGAAGATTATAAAATGCTTATTTTTTCAAGTTACTTCCCAAAATCCATTGGAACATAACCTGTGTTACAAGCTTCTTAGTAGTAACAAAATGACAAACTTCCTGTCACATAAAACCACGTATCAGTTTGTTTTAGGAACTGGCATAACAAATACAAATCCGCCATTAAAAGGACATAGTAAAAAAATGTACTGAACAGGTACAACTGTCAGCTTTCAAATGATAATAGGGAAACACAGCAGTTTCTTAATTTTTGTTTCTTCATTAAAATGCGACATTTAGGCAAAAAAGAACTATTGGGAACGATAAGCCATGATAAGCAAGTTTTGTGTTAGAAATCTAAACTTTTAGAGTTCAGACTCAGCAGTAAATCCAAGGTGGCAACTTAAATATTTGATCTATGTATGTATTTTTTAATTAAGTACTTGTAACTGAAAAGAAACACCTGAAAATAATTCAGTAAATAAATTTGACCCTTCCCTGGTAGGTCAAAAAGTAGAGGAAATTAATCTGATCTAAACTAACCTAATCATGAAATATGGATTCTGAAAACACCTAAAAAGAATCCTCACAAGATGGAAGTGAGTCCCTATCACTGAGTTTCTATCACTGAGGACTAATCCTACCATTTCCTGGATTTTGTCTAGTCTCTTTTAGGTAACCAAACTACAAGTTCTTTCTATCCTTCTAGTACTAAAATGCACAAGTTGTAGTGTGTTCATTTTTGTCTTCCCCTATCAGCATCCCTAACAAAATGGCCAGTAAAGCAACTCTGAAAGCAACACTTGTTAGTTTAGCATAGCTGCAAAGCAATAATGGAGCGACATACATTAAGAATCTTTTTCAGGTTTAGAAAAGCAGTAAAATAGGTGTGGAAGAGAGTAGTAAATATAATCCTTTAAGTCTATCTATCTATCTGTCAATTTCTATTTTCTCTGTACTCTATGTTGTGTAAGTGATCAGAATCAGGCAAACAATTTTGGGCACAATTTTTTGCCAGCAGTTTTCATTTAAACGTTTATGCACTTAATGTTAGGGCAAGGTCAGAACACTGGATGTGCAAATGACCAAAAAATCAGATGCCAATAAGTGTGAAAGTAATGTGCCAGCAGATATTTTTGTTAGTAAATGAAAGGTAGGAAAAAGGCCAGACTGTGAATCATAGAAAAATAGGGCTGGAAGGGACCTCAGGAGATCATCTAACCCAACCCCCTCCTCAAAGCAGGACCATCCCCAACTAGATCATTCCAGCTGGGGCTCTGTCCAGCCTGGCCTTAAATACCTCCACAGATAGAGATTCCACCACCTCTTTAGTTAACTCTTTCCAGTGGTTCACCACCCTCCTTGTGAGAAAGTTTTTCCTAATATCTAAGCTCAACTTTCCTTGCTCCTACTTGAGACCATTGCTCCTTGTTCTGTCACCACTGAGAACAGTTTAGCTCCATCCCCTTTCAACCCCCCCCTCCCTCAAGAAGGTAAAAATTATCAACTCCCCTCCTCCAGTCTTCCTTTCTGCAGACTAAATAAGTGCAGTTCCCTCAGCCACTCCTCCGAAGTCAAGTGTCCCAGCCCCCAAACCATTTTCATTGCCATTCACTGGACTCTCTCCACCTGTCCACATCCTTTCTGTAGTGGGTGGCCCAAAACTGGACACAGTACTCCAGATGTGGCCTCATCAGTGCAGAACAGAGAGGAATAATTACTTCCTTCAATCTGCTGACAACACTCCTACTAGCGCAACCCAGTATGCTGTTAGCCTTCTTGGCAACAAGAGTACACTGCTGACTCATATCCAGCTTACTGTCCATTGTAACCCCCAGATCCTTTTCTGCAGAGCTCTTGTTTAGCCAGTTGGTCCCAAGTCTGTAGCAGTGCATGGGATTCTTCCATCCTAAGTGTAGGGCTTTGTTCTTCTCTTTATTGAACCTCATGAGATTGCTTTTGACCCAATCCTCCAATTTGTCTAGGTCACTCTGAATCCTAGCCTTACCCTCCAGGGTATCTACTACTTCCCCCAGCTTGGTGTCATCCACAAACTTGCTGAGGGTGCACTCCATCCCACTTTACAGAATAATGAAGCTATTGAACAAAACTGGCCCCAGAACAAAACCATGTGAAGAACCATCCCCTAACATACAATAAGGACATTCCCATCAGTTTACAAAACTTTATGTTAGATTAATTTGGCCCTAATCAAGTCACTTAGGTACTTCATTATCCAGTTGAAAACCTGTTAGCAACAACAAATTTACTAATATATCCTCATCGTGTTATGTCCATCTTGTATGAAACAGCACAGTATTTCATGGACGGTATTTCAACACATTTTCTCTCCAGCACTACATGTAGGAAATAAAAATAAAAATGCTTGAGATGATTTGATGTAGACTCAGGTGACAAGTGTCCCATAAATTAAGAGAAAGTTGTGATGCAGTCCTAATTGTCAATTCTTCTGCTTTTTCCATTTGGCACTCTCTCCATAGTATGTACTACTAGGCCCAAATACTAAGAAGGTGTCAGAGCAGCAATTATAAAACATATATTCCTGAGTGTACAGGAATAAATAGCCCCTACTCCAATCCAGGTGTATAAATTTCCCTCTTGTCACACAGAAAGGTAAATGTGCTAACAAAACACGTGTTTGTGAATCAAGAATGGCAATTCCTTATAGAAACTGTGAGTGTATATTTGAATTGAAAATTAACTGCACAGATCACGTAAATAATGAAGGAAGGATAATCATGCTGGACTTCCAGAGAATATGTTTAACTCCTAGACTCCCTAATGGAATCAGAATTTCAGGGTACAAGTGAAATCTTTTATGAGACCCACTAGATATTTGCAAAAAAAGTCTTTATTTGCAAGCTTTTGGGCACACTCGCCCTTCCTCAGGCATAGGAGAATGCAACGATTGTAAAATTTCTCCTAGGTGGAAATGAAAATTCATATTTCACAGGAGAGCTGAAGGTATTGTAAGATCTCCTGGTTGGAGTAGTTCATTTTGTGCCAAGTAGGCTCAGATAAAAGTTGGAACAGTCTATTTACCTTGATGTTGGCTGGTGTCAAGCAGGATGCTGAATTATGTTTGCTTCTGGTTATGATATTTCATAATTCAGAGGAGTGTGGGGTGATGAAATGTTCTCCTGGGCAAGGAATTTCTTCCTACTGCTCTTTCTGGCTGATCTTGAATAAATCACTTATGTAAACCTCTCATTGAGGTCAACAGCAAATTCCTATTGAATTCAATGGGATAGAATTTTACCCTCTGCTCTTCAGCTTACCATCTGTAAAATCCCAGTAATAACACTTTCACAATTTACAGGGGAGTTGTGAGGCTGAAACTATGAATGTTTATAAATCTTTTGAATGAAAGTGTTATATAAAACATCAACTTCTTACTAGTATAAATATATATTTTGCCTCAGAAATTACTTGTCTGTTAGCAAACTGTTTGGCAGAATTTATTTCTGAAAAATTTTTAAATGAACTCCAGAGAAAAACAAGGACTGAATTAAGAGCAAATTTATGCACTGAATATTCCCAATAACAAAGCTAGCGGGATAAACAACACAGGAATACATTTACCAAACTTTCTAAGCTTTTTCCTCCTAACTTGAAATTCTCTTGATACTTTCTGGCTCAGTAAGGGTGTCACAGATAGCATTAATTTGTGACACAAACACCACCA